GGGGCTCCGTTAATCGGTGTATGGATACTGGTTGGATATCGGATCCAGGAACCTCGCAGATTTTGCTGACCAAGCTACACCACAACTGCAACTTCGACCTTTTAGGTAAGCCATTTGGATCTGTGCATCGTAACTAACGACATTGTCAGAAAGTGACGTGAAGGTCTATTGTAACACTACTAAGTTTTGTCGTGCAAATTATCATGGATCAATTGTTTCCAAAGTACGGGGGAACAAACACGCATTCATATATCAGCGATAAGAAGCTCGTTCGATTTTGATTCACTTTGTTTGTGCTGGACTTGCTTAAAAGGTTCTGAGTACGTTCATTTCACTTTCAAGGTGCTTTACATTAGTTACATCACATGAATATTATAAATATGTATAAACTTGAATTACATCGCCAAAAGAGGGCTGGAACGAAAATGGTACCCCCGCTCGGATACAAATAAAATAAAAGAAGAAAAATCTGCTGGGAGGGCGATACTTGTACAGGGATTGTGAAACAAATTGTTAGTACCTCGACAGAAGAGCTCAGTAAACCATGATAAAGAGTAAGCATGGTATTATTTCGAGTAGGCCGCTCAATAACTGACAGTACTAGGTCATATATTTTTCAAACGCAATGCACACATATTGCATCTAGGACGGGTTGATTCGTACGTGCAAGGTGATATGACCCCCTTCCGATGATCGAGGAATCCACATCAATAACGAACCACCACCCTTACCAGGTAAACCAAAGAGACCGGGGCGCCAGCGATCTAAGTAGAGTGTCTTGTCCTCCAGCTCCGGGAACGTAGCGTCCCATGTAGTGACATCTCCAGCGCCAACATCGACCTTCGTATATCCGTCACCACCCGAATGGACTACAACCGTCACATCCTTAGTGTCCACACTCTCAAAAATGAGGTGAACAACACCATCGCCTGCGTGGGTGTAGGATCCGTAGCTGCCCTCAAACGCTTCATCCACCGTCTTAAGTCCCAAAGCATCGTGTAATGTTCCGTCGTCAATTTCACCCACATACGCTGTGGGTCCACAAATGGGCTGCACGAACTGTGACGCCATGTACGCGATACCTGTCGGGTCGATCGTCGAGAGCACAACTAGACCCATATTTGCTACTTCCAGCATATAATCGTCTTCTGCAACGTCCTTGCCACCATCTGTCTTGCCAGTTTCGATGAGTTGATCAACGATAACCCCGAACGTCTTTCGCAAGAGGTCACGCGTTTCGTACGCTGCTGTCCTAGTCTTTGTAGCCAATAGTTCCCCCATGCAGTTGTTCGTGACAATGGGGATATCGTTCAGCACAATCGACGATTTGTACACCTTCACTCGAATGTCGTCGACCTCAGTACTCGCATTGCGATACTTGAGTACAGCGCGTGTGACGCGGTCGGTAAGGCGTTTGAGCTGCCAACCACAACTCGAGTTCTTGGCGACTAGATCTTCGAGTTCATCCACTGTGGTCGTTGACTTGTTGGCCATGCCATTGCCAGTGAGTAAATTCATGACGTTGGCTCCAGTCGAAATGATCTCGTCACCATTGGTGATCGCTTGCTTCACGATACCTTCCACGATGACAAGAACGTAATCGGCGAACTGGGCATTTTTGGGGACTGGTATATTGAGGCACGTGCAAATAGCAATGGGGAGATCGTATAAGACGACGTCAGCCTGGTAAGCAATCGTAAGCATTTCTGCAGTCTCACCGACGGGGGCTGACGTTTGTCGGTATCGGAGATAGTACACGAGGCCCCTGATGACTTCCACAAGGTTCCGCACGCATAATACAGCCCATTTGGCGATCTTGTAGGCAGCCAAGATCTCACCAAACACACCACCAGTCGCAGCATTGAGTGCCACAGCGACAACGGAACCGATTTTGGCGAGCACAGCGAGAACGCAGTCGTCATTTTGAGGAATACATTCCAAGCCACACGAAATCGGGTATGACAATGGACAACGAGCTGCACAGTCGTCACCATCTTTGCTGTATCCCAAGGGACAAATGTTGTTGCTATCGAAGGGCATGGACTTCCGGTAGCAGGCTGTATCACTGTTTTTACCAATGGTGGGGCCCACCCAATTGCGAATGGTTGTGCCATACGTACCATTGCCCACACCCGATGGATCGGTAAGCAATACGTTCTTCGCCGTCTTTCTCGTCCATATCGCACCAATTTGATCCACTTCATCAGCAGCGCGACCGTAAAATCCACTCAGCACGAAGCCTTCAGGAGCGGTCGCTGTACCGGAATTCTCGGTCTTGGTTCCACCTTCGATAGTCTGACCAGCGGTGGTAGTGAAGCTGATGTAGAAGACTCGTGTATGCTTGTCCTTCTTGTCCCAATGAGCCTCCATAGAAGTGATGTACTCATCAGCAGCAAGAGTGATCGTCTTCTCCGTTCCTCCACGTCCTCCATGATTCAGTGTTAGCTTCATGGGTGCAGCAACCTGCAACGTCACAGAATCCACTCGCTTATCCGACCTGATCGTGATAGAGCTGATCGTTTGTCCAAACTTGATTTCATTGATATCCGAGAACGCGTTGCCGTGTGGACCGCCAAAGAGCTCACCTAGGGCGATGTCCTCCTCCGAAGACACCTTAACAGTGCTGCTGGTTTCATTAACCGCTGCAATACTCGACCACACTGCGCCAATAAGATCCATTTCGTCACCATATCGACCAAAGAACCCGACAAGCTGGAAGCCTTTCGGTGCAGTAACTGTACCCTTCTCCTTGGTTTGTGATCCGCCAGACACAGTGTTGCCTTTGTTAGTGCCCAGACTGAGGTAGAAAATACGCGTGTGACCACTCTTTTGGCCCCAATGCGCCTCCATCGTCGTAATGTACTCTCCAGGTTCAAGAGCAAGCGTGTTATCGGTACCTCCGGTTCCACCATGTGTAAATGTCATCTCTTTAGGTGCTGCGACTTGTACCGTAAGGCCGTCAAGACGCTCACCTGCTCGAATAGTGACAGAGCTGATGGTCATTCCAGACGTGCAAGCCAGTTGATCGGAGAACTGTTCTCCATGGGGTCCGCCGAAAGAATCACTCAGCTGAACAGGCCGCTTATTCGCCTTCGTCTTCACCTCCGACAAACTGCCAGCAATGTCCTCTGGAGCGACAGTGCCTGGCGAGTCCTCATCCTTAACAGGAGCTGGTGCAGGTGTCGGAGCTGGCGTAACGAGATCGATATATGCCCAAACAGCACCCAGAGTATCGATCTCCTTGCCAGATTTACCGAAGAAACCCGCTAACTGGAAACCTTCAGGTGCAGTCACTGTGCTCTTGTCGTCTGTCATTGATCCTCCAGACAGCGAGTTACCCGCACTCGTCAGGAAATTCACGTAAAAAATACGAGTGTGGTCGTCCTTCTTACCCCAATGAACCTCCATCGAGTTGATGTACTCTCCTGGACCAAGCTTCAGCACCTTACGGTCACCACCGGTTCCTCCGTGAGTGAACGTGAGCGTCTTGGGAGCTGAGATCTCTAGACTCACACCGTCTAGGCGTTCACCAGCGTAGATGGAGATTTGACTAACAGTCTGTCCAGAGTTAACAAAGTTCTTGTCCGAGAAATCCATGCCATGAGGTCCACCAAAACTTTCACTTAACACGATAGAGTCTTTGACACTCATTGTTGGAGCAGCGGGGGCTTCCGTTCCTGGTGGCGGCCCAGAACCTGCTGGAGCCGCAGCAGCCGAGCCTTGTGTCTGCTCTGCTGATCCCATGGTAGAAGCTGTTGCTGACGATTCAGCTGACGTTGCTGCCGAACCCGCTGCTGCCGAATCTGCTGTGGTCCCGGCAGCTGAGCCTTCAGTAGCGGCGGCCGATCCAGCAGGTGGCGCAGCAGCAGAGCCTTCTGTCGACTCTACTGCTGATCCCGCGGTGGATGTCGCTGCGGAGGATTTGGCTGACGTTGTAGACGATCCCGCTCCTGAGGCCACTGCCGAGTCTTCTGTGGATCCGACTGCAGAGCCTTCACTTGATGCTACTGCTGCCTTCTTCTTCTTAATGGGGGCTTCAGCAGAGCCAGAGACGTCACCAGAAGCTAGTGCGGAGTCTTCGGTTGAGCCTTCACTCGATGTTGCTGCTGTCTTTGTTTTCTTCTTCTTCTTAATCGGGGTATCAGTTGATCCTGAAGCATCGGCTGAAGCTAATGCAGCGTCCTCTGTCGACCCTGCAGATCCTTCACTCGATGCTATTGCCGCCTTCTTCTTCTTCGACTTAATGGGGGCTTCAGCAGAGCCAGAGGCGTCACCAGAAGCTAGTGCGGAGCTTTCCGTGGACTCGACTGTAGAGCCTCCATTCGATGCCGTTGCAGCTGTCTTCTTCGCTTTCTTCTTAATCGGGGTGTCAGTAGAGCCTGAAGCATCGGCTGAGGCTAACGCAGCGTCTTCTGTCGACCCTGCCGATGCTTCGCTGGACGCTACTGCTGCCTTCTTCGTTTTCTTTTTCTTAATGGAGACTTCAGCAGAACCAGAACCAGAACCAGAAGCAGCAGCAGAAGCTACTGCCGAGTCTCCGCTGGACTCAGCTGCAGAGCCTTCGCTCGACTTTACTGTCGCCTTTTTCTTTTTCTTAACCGGAGTTTCCGTAGAGCCTGAAGCACCGTCCGACGCAAGTGCAGAATCTTCAGTAGATACAGCGTTCTGCTTCGTGGGGGCTTCAGCGGGGCCTGACGATTCGGTTGAAGCTAGTGCAGAGTCGGCTCCAGAACCTGCCGTTGACTCGGCAGCAGGGACTCCACTACCCGATGCGGCTGCAGATGCAGGAGCAGGAGCTGGAGCAGGAGCAGGAGCAGGGGCTTCCGTCGCCGGAGCTTCGGCCGATATACGCGTCCAAATCGCACCCAACTTGTCAATTTCATCGCCGTCCTGGCCGAAAAAGCCTCCGAGTTGGAAACCTTTCGGCGCCGTCACCGTGTTCTTGCTCTCCGTCTGAGAACCACCTGACACCGTGTTACCCGCGCTAGTACCAAAACTCAAGTAGAAGATTCGCGTTCGACCTTTCTTCTCGCCCCAATGCGCCTCCATCGACGTGATGTATTCTTCCTTGGCGAGCGTCAGAGTGTTTGCCTTTCCACCTGACCCACCATGACTGAATGTAGCTGCTTTTGGCCCTGTCACCTCCAACGAAATACCATCCACGCGTTCACCGGCACGAATAGTAATCGACCCGATCGTTTGTCCTGCCGCGACCGAAGCTTGATCAGAGAATTCCGTTCCGTGGGGACCACCAAAACTCTCGCTCAACTGGACCGGCTCATCAGCTGAGAATGCCCCGGGTAAGACCACGAGGAGAAGGCACACTAATGCCCGAAATAAAGTCACCACCAACGCACGTGGTATCATGCTAGCGGTGGTGATTTTGCTGAAATGGCACGAAGTCGCGTTGCTTGAGTGAGCCTATCGGCCCATCGAGACGATTGTTTACGGCGCCGACAAGCGGAATTGAGCGGTCCTTCCTCTTCTCATGTATTTGCAAAACGCGGATAATGTTTCTCTTTATTAGCTGAACATTTTATTTTAATCAGATTTACATATCTGCAAAACAGGGTACTTAATCGGTGGAACTTCTGGTAATTGATTGGAGTGGCGAGTCCAGTTAAAATCCAGTTAAAATAACCTAAATTAGATTAGCCTCCCGGACATTATTTGTAGACTTGTACCCCAGCTAAACCTGCGGGTGTTGACCAAAATAACTTTAAACAGTATTTATTTAATGAATAATGCAAACTAACATGTAAAACCTGGCTAAAAAGAAGCTTGGGTTAATATAAAACGTTACTGCGGTGCAAGGGTTAAGGCCGCCATGATTGCGTGGATTTTTTTTTACAATCGATCGACAGCAGGATTGGTCTTGGGATTGGGTGTGGTTGCTCCAATCGCTCTTTCAAGGTGTTCTGACGAAGTGAATGCATCTGTACTTGCAGCTGGTGTTGTAGAACTCGTCCTGTGCAGTTCAGTATTATACATGTACCAGGATAGGCAATCCCGGAACGTCGTGTTATTTTGGTGTGCGTGAACAAGGCGACGCAAGACCGTAAGCTATTGTATTCGAGTGCGTGACGGGCGCTTCGAATAGCGGACAGCTCATATAGTTTCGGGTGTGTTGTCCCTTCGGTGTTGTCGAAACTCCTGCAGAGCGCAGTTTCCAAATAAAGTTTCCTAATGCGTTGATCTTCTTGCTTTGCAGCATGTAGGGTGATCATCTGGCTTTGCAAATTTACAGGGCCCACGTAGTATTGCTTCGTGGTTCGCTCTGATTGCGGGACGCAAGAATTCGGCGGCAAATGTTTGCCGTGAATATGAAATGGTGTTTTCCTCATGCAAATCCCTTTGTGACGTTTAGCTCGCTGCACTAAAGAACCGAGTTGATACTCAGCATATATCTTTTGTTTTTCATAATATCAGGGAGACTTCCCGTCGTATAATCCCTGCTTTTATTGAAATATCTTCAAGAAAAAGAAACAACCTTTTGCATGCTTATTACTGCTGTATTTACTATTATTAATAAGTTACATAATGTACCGTCAAGGTAGCAAAACTGTCTACTGCTATAACTGAAACCGTTGACTCTTGATAACTGCTCTCAGGTTTCTTTGAATAGTGTACGGATTCTTCGCAGTGAACAACACTCGCACACATAATATTCACTCTTGGTCCGTCAGCAACGGAAGGCTAAGGTCAGTAATGCATGCTATCCCAGTTGGAATGGAAATAGGAAACGGTGCTGCCATTCCTCACAACTGCATTGATATGCAGTATTTCGTTAATTGCTGATTTACCCTGTTACGGACAATATGCACATATATGTCAAACTCATTTAATTTATTAGAGAGCTTTTGTTCGTGGAATAGCTCAGGGTCTGGAACTTATTCCAGTGAAGACCCAGGCTATTATTCGCTGAATTCCAGTGGTTTAAAAATTGATTAGTGACTGATATTCCCATACTGTATTCAATACTATACAATAATGCATTTTCAAGCCGTATTCAATTCGCCATCTCTTCAATTTTACCCAGATTCTCGTTGGTTCCGTGTGTGCGTGTTAAGTTAAATTAACTCTACATGCCTACGCTGTCAAATTGAAAGAAAGTAAAAACATGACGTGCGATCCGTTTTAAAGATAATACATGCTTCTGTACCTCGTCGTGTGTACTATATACCGTAACAGGTACAGCTCGGAAAGTGATTCCTCTACATAATGATAAAAAGTGGATTCCCGACGCTATCAATAAAGAGAGGATTACGACACGACACCGATTTGGCGAGAGGTAGCATTCAGACGAAAAAAAACCCAAAAAATTGATGGGTTTTTTCTTCTGAATGTCATCCCAGCCAATCAGATCGTTTAGCCTGATGATTTTGAGGTCATATTTGTTTGTATTAAAGTAGTTAAACAGTAGTACTATTAAGAAAACTGCGCAGATACAAATATTAGTGCTTTGAGTAGCATTGCTGTGAGTAGCATAGCTGGATAGTATGTTGCTTGATAATACTTGAAAGTGTTCAGAAGCCAAATTACTACGATTAAGTACTACTGTTCTCAATGCAATCACAAACATTTTCCAAGCAGCACTCCACGATGCTGGAGACTCGCCGCAAGCTCCTCAATGCAGCGCTGTCTGGCAATATGGTGCGTTTCTCTCATCCTCATTCACAACTGCATACGTTTGGCTTCCTAATGCACGAGGTTGCATCTCTATCCACGTTCTGACTCACTCGCAATATCCATGATATCACTTAGCGGGAGAGGCTCCACTAACACTTCCATGCCCCCTGCCTTCACTACTGTAGGTCTTGTCCTGCGCATTGTTGCTGACTACCATGTTTCTCCTGGAGACTCCGTACGTGGGTTTCGACGCTACAATCACCGCCGGTGTCTACGTGGTTTTCACATTCGTGGCCATCGTCATCCTGAACAAGTCGCCGTCAGCATTTTCCGTAAGCTTTTGTGGAGCTCGAAGCGGCATTAGTAGTAGGAGAAAGCGCTGACTTATGCTTCCAAATTGTTGCTGCTGTGTAGATTGGATTTCTGGTCGGAGCGTCATTGCTTGTGCTGGTGCTGGCGTTCCAGGGTGCTTTCTATTGGGTAGCACAAACGCTGTTGTGGGTGTTTGAAGTGGTGTGGATCTCTGATTTAGTGTTGATGTTGGTAGGGGTTGGAGGCGCACAACAATCCACGACGGAAGACTGCAGCATATTTAGCGTCTGGATTTCACGCTGTAATATTCACGGTGCAGTGTGTGGTGACAACCGTTGTGGTCAAGTCCAAGGAAGACGTTATCGACACTTACGCAGGTACTTCGAAGTACTTGTCAACGACTGGTTTTCATATTTTTGTGCTAATGATCTTCTTGTTTGTAAATAGCGTACGAGTACATTCCTGACACAAGTTACCCCGACAACGCCATCTTGGCTAATATGGCATCGCCTATCAATTATCAGGCGACTATCCCCACTGCCGACATTTGACTATAATTGTTTTTGAGGAAGGCGTGTGACGATCTGTCTGCGTGTGTAGCACAACAATGAGGTTTTGTCTAGTACGCTTCGCCTCAGCTTTGCGGCTTGATTCCGCCATCAAGAGTTTAGCGTTCAGTTAAAAGTCTCCAGCTCTTCAGAAACGCCAGCACGTCGCGCTCTTCATCTTCGAGCGAGTGATGACTGTCTACACGTTGTCTTTATTTCGCTGAAATCACATCAAGGTTACCAGCCACGACATTAGCGACAAAATCACGCTGACACTTGTCTTCGTTCTCGATTTTGTGCGCATAACATGATACTCTAGAGCTCTTTCATTGGAAGCCGAGTGTGCCTACCACAATCCTTATCCTCAAGCATCGACGGGGTGCCCCGGTTCTCAAGGTCAAACAGATTATCATAGTTGACCGGTTCTTTTTTTTCTCCTCGTTGATCCTTACACCTTCGTATCACATCTGCTATCCGCCCTCACATCCTGTGTCACTGAACGGTGCACTTTCGTCGAATACTTCGACTGTAACGTCTTATTCTTTGCGTTACGTCCGATCTTCAATGCTCGTCGCTCTCGCTCTACCTTCTTCTCATTGTCATCAATCCGATGTTTCTTGTGCTGTAGACGGGCATCCTTGCTGGCCGAACGTCTCACATTGCCTATGAGAGCAGTGATTGATCCAAATCTCTTGCCTACGGCGTGCTCCAATGCGACACCAGAAGCTCGCGAATTATCCGCCTCTCGTTTCAGAATGTTAGCCACGCGATCCTCCGCATCCAAAAAGCAACCTCCTCCGAATCTTTTTCTTCTTTCTCTTCTCGGACCAATTCACTAGCGACTGTAGACGAGGCACCAGGATTTCTAGTACCATACGGACCATAAACAATTCCGTCATGCCTGCGTCGAT